TGCCGGCTCCTAGGGTGTGACTCCGACTCCTCGTGGCGAGGGTGCCTGGGCGGAGGCAGGGAGCGGGCCACGGGAAGGGCTGTGCCGCAGGACACCGGCGGGCGGCGGCGCGGCCGTGCTTTCTGTGCTGATTTATAGATTCCTTTAGGCTGGAAATTACCTTTCAGACCATCGAGTCCAACCGTTCACCTCACGCTGCCAAGTCCACCGCTCACCCACCTCCCCAGGCACCACCTCCACAGGTCTCTTCCATCCCTGCAGGGATGGTGACGCTGCCCCGGGCAGCCCGTTCCCGTGTTGGACAACCCTTCCGGTGAAGAAATTTTCCCTAATGTCCAATCGGAACCTCCCCTGGAGCAACTTGAGGCCATCTCCTCTTGTGCTGTCACTTGCGAGAAGAGCCCGACATCCACCTCGCTACAACTTCCTTCCAGGTAGCTGTAGAGAGTGGCAAGATCTCCCCTCGTCCTCCTTTTCTCCAGACTAAACAATCTCAAGTTCCTTCCGCCACTCCTCCTAAGTTCTCCAGACCCGGCTCCCACGGTTCTCCAGACCCTTCTCCTTTCTCTCCAAATCCTACTCTTAAGTTCTCCAGACCCTGCTCCCAAGTTCTCCAAACCTGCTCCTAAATTCTCTAGGCCCTGCTCTCCAAACCCTGCTCCCAAGTTCTCCAGACCCTGCCCCTTGCTCTCCAGACCTGCTCCTAAATTCTCTAGGCCCTGCTCTCCAAACCCTGCTCCCAAGTTCTCCAGGCCCTGCCCTTTGCTCTCCAGATCCTGCTCCCAAGTTCTCCAGACCCTGCCCCTTGCTCTGACATTTCTCCTTGCCCTCCAGACCCTTCACCAGCTCCGTTTCTCTGGACCCGCTCCAGCCCCTCAATGTCTTTCTTCTAGTGAGGGGCCTGAAACCAAATGCAGTATTCGAGGTGCGGCCTCACCCGTGCCGAGTACGGGGGACGATCCCTTCCCTAGTCCTGGCCACACGATTCCGGACACAAGCCTGGATGCTGTTGGCCGCCTTGGCCACCTGGGCACACTGCTGGCCCATACTGGCCAACACCCCTGGTCCTTTTCTGCCGGGCAGCTCTCCAGCCACCCTTCCCCAAGCCTGTAGCGCTGTGTGGGGCTGTTGGGACCCAAGTGCAGGGGCCGGCACCTCGTCTCTTTGGATCTCGTAGAGTCGGCCTTGGCCCCTCGATCCAGCCCACCCAGATCCCTCTGCAGAGCTTTCTCAAGCAGATCGACGCTCCCGCCCAACTCGCTGTCATCTACAAACTCAGTGAGGGTGCACTCGATCCCCTCCATTTACTGCTAATTAACTTCAAACTGGTCTCCCTCACGAAACGACCGGTGTGTTACCGACGGCGCTGCAAGGTACGAGAAGCGCAGCGGCCGTCTGCGCACCCGGATGCTCCGTGAAAGCCTCCGGAAGACTCCGCTGATAAAAGAGCGGAGATCAAGCACGGGGTTGAGCGAGGCACAGAAAGGCTGTGCCGGGCTTCAGGAAGCAGCGAGGCACAGCCCGAGGCGACAGATATTTGCTTCATCGTCTTCGGTGCTTAAGAAGTTTTGGTGCTTGGCTGGGGACAGAGGACTGCAGAGTCGCCCTCCCCGACCCCTGAAAGATTACTCCTACTTTCTTCTCCGCATCCCGGCGGAAAGAGGAGAGTGCTAAAAGGCAAAGCAGCAGCTGAGCCACGGGAGATTCCTCCTCGTGTGTCTATTTGCTAGAAGACTGTAGAATCATTTAGGTTGGAAAAGACCCTCAAGATCAATCGAGACCAACCGTTAGGTCAATGACCCCAACAGTTAAATCACCGAGCCCAACCGCTGAAGATGGATTCCGTGATTTCAGGAGAAGGCCAGACACAGGCCAGACCCAAACGGTCTCACTCCTTCCACTGAGAACCATCGTCCCATCTCTCGGCCTCTGCTTACCGGGAGGTTCAGCTTGACGGCGTCCACGGGCTGCTGGAAAGGCCACGGCTGCTGGAAAGGCCACACAAACTGGTGCTTCCATAGCGTCTTCAGCACCACCTTGAGCAGATACTGCAGCTGGTTGCTCTGTCGCTTGGGTTTGTTGGGGTTGGAGGTCTCCGGCGGAGGGGGATTAACGCCTACAGCGCTGCCTTGTTGGGGCTGAGCCTGTGACTGCGTCATAGACATTTGGGTGGTTTCTAGTCCATCCCCCATTACCGGCAAATTTCTCAGTCTCGTTCCAGGGCCGCTCTCCGCCGACATGCTATTGATCCCATTGCATTCCTCACCGGACACCCTGCAAAACAACGAGGGAGACGAGCTCACAACAGCCCCAGGCTTTGGTACAAGGCGCAGCTTAAAAATACACGGGCGGATTCGGCCAGAGTAGCTCGGGCAACTAGACCTTGCGCCCCGCTCGCTGAACAACAGCGTTGTCTCCTCCCAACAAACGATGTCAGGGTTCTGCATCCTGCGGTAAGAAAGGATATTCTGAGGCAACTGGCTGTCTCCGCTCCTTAGCGAGTGAGTTTTATCCCTGTTATTGCCTAATGTGGTCAACGAGGGCTCCAATGGTCTCCATAAAGACCCTTCGTTACCTCTTGATGAGGCTTTAACGACCAAAACGCTGCTGGCTCTCAGCAGGTACCAGCTTTAGCTCCAGGGCTGGGTTCGCCATCACTGGGACGAGACGTTAAATTGGCACTGGCCAACTTTTAGCTCCAGCTAAAGGAGCGGAGGCTGACAAATTTACCTCCTTTCAGCTTCTCAGTAGCCCCCATCCCGCCATCAAGGGTCAGCTCACCCCAACGTCACCCCAAAGCCTGTCTTTTAGCTGAACGCTGAGCTTCCGCGGGATGCTTCAGCTGAACCACGCAGCGGGCAAACCCACGTTTAATTCACACTATTTGGTAGATAATCTAGGTGTGTAACCTTTCGCAGATAACAACTTTAGGTAGCTAATTTAGGTAGATAATCTAGGTGGAAAATTCAGGTGGATGATCTTTAAGTAGATCATCTGGGTCGATCACCCAGGTTGGTGATCTTTACTAGACAATCTAGGTACATCATCTAAATCAATAATCTTTACTAGGTCATTTGGTCGATAATCTTTAGTACTAGATAATCTAGGTTGATAATCTAGGTCAATAATCTTTAGGTAGATAATCCTGGCAGATAACCTTTCAGTGGCTCATATAAATATCATTCTAAAGACCAGAAACTTGGGAAAAAAGGGCATTTCTGCTGAGCCTACGGCCTTCTCCCAGGGCACATTCCAGAGCTCTCCAACCACCACACGCAGCCTGTCCGTCTCGTTAAGCTCCTGCCGCGTGAAGGGGTCACCACGGAGCCAGGAGCAGCCGCCACACGGTGAATCCCCACCCTCGCCGGGCGTGCGGGCCCTCCCCTGCGTAAAGACCCCCCCCATGCCGTGCGTCCTTCGTCTGATTTAACGCTGAGCACACGTAGCACGCGTTAAGCTTAAGACGTGCAGTTATTAATTAGAGAAGACCCCTACATATCGTGTGAGACTAATTGAGAGCCTTGCTGTTAACCAGTTTCGAGTGACACGTATGCTCGGCCTCGAGTCGGTACATGAGTGTATATAGGTGTGTGTACGCTCACGCCCAGCGCCTGGCCACGAGTCTGGGTCCTTACCCTGCTGCCGCAGAGCAGCCCCGCGTCTCGGCCGCGCTCCGGACGCGCAGACGTGGTCTCCGCACGTAACGCAGCAAGGGACGAGCAGCCAGAGATGCAGCAGACTGCAATTTCACCCGCCGCGTCTCCCAGCTGCTTCCACGCGCCCGCGGAACCTCAGCCAGGCTTAAACCCCTGCTTAAAGGCTGCGGCCCGTTGCTTTTACCAGCCTGAAACCAACACCGAACCAGCAGATTTGGGGTCTTGAAATGCTGGGTTTTAACTTTTCAGGGCTCCAAGCGAGCTGCTAGCTGAAGCAGCGCACAGGCGGCCAGATCGCTGCGGCAGGCTCCCGTCGTTCCCCCGGGGGATTTTACGGGAGGTTTTCTAGCCGATTCCTCCACGTTGCGTGCGAAAGGGAAGCTCTCGAGGGAGAAACCTGTCCTTATCAAGCGGGGGCCAAGCGGAAGGAATCCTCTTTGCTCCCCGCGAGGGGCTACATTACCTTGTAGGATACATCGCCATATAATTTTGCCCCAGAAAATGATGCCGAGTCAGAAGTTGCTTGGCTTGTCCATCTATCTTCGTGGCTTCAGGCACAAATGCCTTTAGATCCCGGACCTGACGAAACAAACAAAGCAGTTAATCCAAGGCACCGCCCCGAGGCGTCAGGAATGAAGGCAACCTCCAGAGAATTCAACGTATTTCCATGGACATCAACAGCCCAGCGAAGCGGAGTCGGCCACGGACGCCCGCCAGCGCGAGACACCTACGGAAAAACAGGGAACCGGCACCGGTGTCGGAGCTTTCCCCAGGCGTTTTTCCATCTTTCGGGCAAAGTCGCTCCAGAAATTCATCATTCCGAGGACTGCGACCGCCCCATTTCCTTCCGCTCCCTCGTAACACAACAGCTCTCGCAGAGCCGGCTGTGAGAGGAAGCCAAGGAGCTGTTCTTTTCTTATTTTTAAAAAAAAAGAAGGGAAAGTATTTCATCAGTGGTTTTATTCCTTCCCCTTCCACTTCAAAGTGAAGCTCCAAGCACCCGTCCGGGCGGTGAAGCGTTGGATCAGATTTCCCCTCTTATTTTCACCTAGTTGATTCACCCTGTGTATTTTTCACTGTCTCCCTGCTCCTTTGGAGGGATCCTCCCAGTCTCCTCTCGCGTTTCCAAACCCTAGCCACCTTTTTTGAAGGGATTAGC